CGTTTTGTATTAACTGTACAAACGTGCCGCTGTCTGGAAACTGAATTATAGCACAGCGGCAGAATCAAACCATCGTCCATAAACTTACAAAGGTCTTCTTGCGTGCATGAAACATTGGCTCATTCAGTTCATTACACGCGTAAAGCATAAAAATATATGTAACAATATGTATAAAACAAGACAATACAAAAAATAATATGGAGCGAAAAATGTTATAACACGTAACACAAGTGCGTTATTATTTAATACATCCTTTTCAGAATGTACTAATATCGCAAATGCCTTAATAATCGACACCCTAAAGTTATTCCGTGTTAAACTTTTCAAACACTTTTACGCTTTAAAAACATAAAAGGTCATTTGGAACTATTTGATCGAAGTTGTTGGGAATAATCGAGCTCATATATGTATGCATAACTGATATTAAACACTAAGGAGGGAATATGTAACGCCTTTATTCCGAAGCATGATTTAATTCTATGTTTAAAATTCACAATTATAATTGCTATTATTATTATTATTAATAATAATAATAATAATAATAATAATAATAATTAGGTTGTTGTTGTGGCAGTAGTGAATGAAAACCGAATGATAACGATTCTTTCAATGTAATTTTTTGAGTTGAATAAGTCATTTGAGTTGATGAGTCATTTTATATTATAAATAACAGTTTACTTTGGTGATAAATATGGTGATAAAAGTCTAAACCATTGCTTCTAATTTTCTTACATTTGGTTCCCGCGATAGATGCGGAAAAAATATTTTACAATTTTGTATTAAATTACATTACTATGAAAATTGGCAAACATTCTTTCAGCAAATCGGCAAAAATGTGTCAAGACAAAGTAAGACTAGTAGTTTTTACTTAAATTTTTATAGACTAGACTTTTTACCAACAGTATTTTGTTCTTAGTATCATAAAAAAAAATCGTTAATGTACGATGTAAAAAGTGTCTCGTCAGATCTTCTTAAAATTACTTCATATGGTAACAAGCAGTTAAACTAGTTTTATTCAAATAAAAAATTACTTTGATTAAAAGAATCGTTCATTCAAAGTATTTATTAAGGTCGAATAAAACTAGTTATTTTACTTATTACCACATGAAGTCATTTTTTAATCAGATCTGACGAGACACCTTTTAAAATGTAATAATAAGAACGCGATGTTTAGATGTTTAGCGACTGCTGTGTGAACATCGCCCAGCAGAACTATCGTAAACTATAGTATTAATTAAATAGATGCATCGATTATAGACACTATCATTAAAGGAAGAAGATAATTTTGAAGTTTTGCCTGAAAAATACACTGTAAAAATTGGCTCTTCAGATCTCCTTAAAAACGACTTCATGTAGTAACAAGCAATTTAACTCGTTTTATTCAGCTCAAAAAACTACATTGTTTGAAAGAATCGTTCATTCAAAATATTTATTTCGGTCGAATAAAACTAGTTATTTTACTTGTTGCTTCAGGAGTATTTTTTTTTTATAATTGCTTTTGTTATTATATGAAGTAATTTTTTGACGTTGATCTAACGAGCGATTTTACAGTGTGTATTGTCTGTAAACCACATACACTTTGATTATAAAAAGACGGGCAATGACAAAAATGTTTACACTGTAAAAAATCACCAATTTAATCTAAAAAAATTATTTCATGTGGTTACAAGTAAATTAACTAGTGTTTTCCAACCAGATTAAATATACTGGAATGAACGATTCTTTCAATGTAATTTTTTTGAGTTGAATAAAACTGGTTGCTTGTTACTACATGAAGTAATCTGAGTAGTTTTAACAGAGTAGTTCAAAAATGCATAATAAACAATGATGAACAAATTTACTAACATCTTTAACCCTCCAGAAAAACAACATATAAAATTGTTATCTAACTGCGTCAAATACTCTGTATATACATATCAGGTACTTATAAACATCGAATGGGGTTAAACCTTTAAACTGATTCCAACGATAACAGGAATGTTATTTACTATTTTACTATTTTTTAATCTTTTCTCTTTTCTGTGATTTGAGTACTCAACGTTTAACTGAGCTCTATTTCAGGTAAGGAAATGCCAGTGTCGATTCTCCCTGTGAAGGAGTGCTCCAGTGCCAGTCATTTCCAGCTTGGCTGCATCTCCACTGGGCTTCAAACAGACTCGTCCTTTGAGTGGTTAGATAACGATAAAAACAAGCTGACTAACTTCATTCAGTACGCTGCTCTACCGAGAGACGGAGCGTACGCTAAAGTGAGCGTCATTAGCGTGGCGAGGGATGACTGGGACAAAGGGAAACGATTCACATGCAAAGTGGGCAACGAGACACTCAACATACCAGGTAAAAATAAATAAATAAGTACATAAATAAACAAATACAGATAACAACATTTTTAAAAACTAATCAAATCGACTATTTTAGAGCCGTTTCTACTACATATTTTGTGGTCATAAGCGGTCCCACCAATCCCAGTAACGCTATTTTGCATGTAAAAATGAAAATGAAATGATATTTCATTCATTTTGAATAAATGCACAGTAAATGTTAATGTACAACAAGTGAAGTAATTCACATAATAAATAAGCAGATACACTTCAATGCATCTGCTTCACTTTTGCATAATTATTACCTGAAAGCAAAATATTATATTTGCAGTACCAAAGCTTGAACACTTCCAGTCAAATTACATGTTTGGTTTAAAATGAAAAATTTTTCATTTTTCTGCTAATTTTAGTGTATAAAATCTATTTATTTGATGAGTTTAACAGATTTGCAAAAAAACAGAGACAAAGATGTATCATATATGTAAATGTATCAGCACATGCAAAAGAGTTTTCAGTATGTTAATTTCAGCAAATAAATCGGAATTGAGTGGTAAAATGTGCAGACGTCTGTTCTCTGTAGAGGATGTGAACTTCATCTCATTTAGAAAACCAATAAAATGTGTCATTTGACTATAAGGTGCTCAAAAGTTTGCTGTACCAAATTTATGATTGGCTGATAAGAGGCCTAAAAGACTGCTTATACTGCTTATAGCTATTCCCCTTTAAAAAGATGGTTCTTGAAGGTTTATTGAGCAAAGACAATGGTTTTCTATAAAACCATGAACGTTCAAAGAACCATTTGCATATAGCGCCTAAAAGGGTTCTGCTATGGTTACAAACTTGACAACCCTTCTTGTGCTATATAGAACCATATACATCACATTCTCCATCAATCTGAAGAACATTTTTACTATGGACAGAACCATTCAAGCATGTAACTGGTTCTTTGAGTATTCATTGTTCTACAGAATATGATTTTTTCTGTTTTCGTTTTTACAGCGGACAAAAAACCAAGTGTTAATCTGGTGAAAGTTTCTGATGGTGAATCCATCATGTGCGTCACTGAGGATTTCTTCCCAAAGGACTTCACCCTCAAGCTGAAAGAGGATGGTCAGGAAGTTGCTGGTCTGACCTGGCCAGCCATGCGCAGTACTTCAGGCTTGTATACAGCCAGCAGCCTTCTTAAAGTCAGTAAGGCATCGTGGAAGAACGCAAAGTACAGCTGTGAAGTAACCCATCAGAACAACATCTACACACAATCTCGATCTTTCACAGGTAGAGTCTTGATGGTGATATAGTTAGGATGTACATGCATTTCAGTGTGATACTATGAATAAATTAATGAATCTATTAGTATGAAAATTTAGGTGCCTAATAGTAAAATGTTATGTACATATTTAATAAGATTTCAAGCCTGTTTATGTTCTATTTCCTGATGAACAACATGCTGGTTTGTATTCCTCTATTTAGGTAAATTCAGTGTGAAAATCAAACCACCTGGAGCAAAAGACCTGTTTATACATAACAAAGCAAATATAGAGTGTGTTATCAGTGGAAGTAATAAGGTGGAGGTGGAAGCAGCAAAAGTGTCATGGACAGTTGGAGGCAACGAAGCTGAAAAGACAAAAATCACTGATGGTGTGGTTGAACCTAAAGAAGAGCTGTATGTTAAAACCAGCACGCTGACCATTGATGAGTCCGTCTGGTTTGCAGGCACAGCAGTGAAATGCTCCACTATCAGAGACAAAGATACATTCTCTGACTCCATCAGCCTAACAGAAGGAGGTAAAGTGTTTATCTTATTACCTTTTAACTGTTTCTTTCTTTTTTCCTCCTTTGTTCTGACTTTGTTCTCCTTCATCTTTCTTTTTTCCTCATCTTTCTCTCTTCCTTCTGTCTTTCTTTCTCTTTAATCTAAAATGTGCAGAATTTCAGCTCAATAGGTTTCTTGCTTTTCATCAATTATTGCAACAAGTTATTTTCTCTTTAATTCCTCCTTTTCTTTCTTTCTGTCTTTGTTTCTTTCTGTTTTCTTCCTTCATTTTGTCCTTTCTTTCTTTCTTTCTTTCTTTCTTTTTTTATTTTCTTTCTTTCCTTCCATTTTCTTCAATCCTTCCTTAATTCATTTATTTCTTCTACCTTTATTTTGTTCTTCTTTCCTTTATTTATTTTTACATTCTTTCTTTCTTTCTTTCTTTCTTTCTTCTTTTTCATTTTTTATTTTCTTCTATGCTTATGTTCTTCCTCATTTCATTCCTTACTTAATTTCTTCCTTCCTACCTTCTGCCTTTTTTCTTCTTTCTTTTCTTATTTGCTTACTTGCATCCATTTCCTTTCTTCCTTCCTTTTTCAGTTCTTTCATTATTTTTTTTCTTCCTTAATTGTGTCCTTTCTTTCTTTCTTTCTTTCTTTCTTTCTTTCTTTCTTATTTTGTTCCATTTGTAATCTGTCACTCATTACTCATAACTGTTATTCCATACAATATTTGGCATTGTCAGCACTGTATTCCCTCCAGGAAATATACTTTGCTCTGACATGTTCATTACATTTTGCATTTGGTGTTTTCTCTTAGACAACAGCTGCTCTCTTCAGATCTATGAACCTAAGAAAGCTGTTCTCGACACTGAGAAAATCTCTCTGGTGTGTGAGGTCAACAGCTCTCGTCTTGGGGATGTTTACATCATGTGGCAAAAGGGCCAAAATCCTAATGATCCTTTTGAAGAAGGCAGCATCACAGCTCCCATCTACAAAAACGGAACTCCCATGTCTGTTTTAAGCATTTTTACAGTGACTGGAAAGGAGTACAACAGTGAAATGGTCTTCACTTGTGCGGTCAAGCATGCCAATATGAAGAATCATAGCACACCGTTAAAGACAACAACATCTAAGAGTAATGACAACTGTCCTACATGTCCTTCACCTGATCGTCGCTGAGTGTCCTCTCAGACCAAGATGGTCAGGAAGCATCACTGCAGCTGTATCTGGCTGATTGAGATGCTTCATCTAGTTCACCTGAATGGTCTGAGATGCTGTTTGTCGTGATGTTATGTATCTCTGTGTTCACTCATTCAGTGTTTTCTGTTTGTATTATTATGTTGCATGGGCCATCATGTAAATCCAATCATCCAAAAAACAAACCTAAACTTCAACTGTTACTATTCACAATGATATTATAGCAATTCAGTATGAAAATAAGAACATTCCATATACTTTACATACTGGCCTCTGCATGTTTCATGTTACATGTCTTGGATGGACGTTGTTCTGCTCTGTCTTAAGCTTTCTCTGTTTCTGTTTATGATCTGCTCATGTTAACTTTTGTGTGCTTGCATAGAAGTAAAATTAGATTTAGATTGAAAATATTTTAAGAGCTTTTCTGGAAAGGTTACCAGTCTTTGTGATATGAGTTATATCTCTCGTTTTTGTAATGCTTGAAATAATAAATTGGCACAGCATTTGACAACATATAGTCCTGAATCATGAATACTGGTCATATATTCTTCAAAGCAAACTGAAATGTGTGAATCAATATAATGTAAAATTTAATCACTCTATCTAATGTTTACATTAAAAATAGCCATTTGCATTGAAAAGAGTTGAGAAACATAATTTGCTGTGCAAAAGTAAGGGACCATCCTTCATTTATTCAATTTCTAATAAAATGGCCATTAAATAAAAGTTATTAATTTTTCATCAGGAAAAAAGTATAAAACAGCAGACAATAACACAGAAGCCTCAACAATCAAAAATAATATTATTTTTCAGTATTCAGTGGGTCATTCTTTACCTTTATTACACCTAACTTTCAGTTTCTCAAAGAAATCTGCAGCCACACCCCCAAAGTTCAGTCTTAGAAATTGGTTTGGCACTTTCTGTTTCTCACAATCCAAATAATCCCAAACACATTCCATGACATTGAGGCCTGGACTCTGGAGTGGTCAGTCGATTGTTCTGAGAATATCAGCAGCATCTTTGCTTGCTTTACAAATTTTCTTCTTTTCTATTTCCCTCATCTGTTAATTATTTTTGTGCTCCAGTTTTGGAAAGGCTTCTTTTTCTTTGACTTTTCCCTTCCACATGCAAGTGGATCAACTTGGCGGCCTTGTTGACTGGAAATAAAATCAGTGAAGGGGGTCTCAGACTTTTAAACAGCACTGTATTAGATGTGAAAGTTACTGTTTCTGTTATATTCATTTATTTAGCAGTAACATGAGCTGTTTTTCTGTTTTCCTTTTTTGCTGGTCTTGTTCTGCACTATTCAATACCACAATGTTCTACAAGAGGCACCATAAATGGGCCACTTTTGGTTCCCTAATGATCCATGTTTGAAAAAGAGATTTAAGAATGTGATGAACCTTTCAAACAACTTTGTAAAGGTTCTATACCAACTTAGAGTTCCTTCTTAGGACTTTTACATTATGTGGAGGTTCTTTAAACTTTACAAAGCTTCTTTCCACTTGCATTTTGTCTCATTTCACAAAATGATTCTTCAAAGAATTAAAGGTCTTTCAGGAAACCAAAAGTCAAAATATGGGATCTTATGTTGTCATGCTGAGAACACTTTGTGGAATTAAGATTGTAAGCTTTTCTTGTTCTTGTAAACAACTAACTCTTGTTAAACTTTGGGATCTTAAATGGGAAATTTCACCAATTTTTCAAAACATTTGTATTTTATAATGGTTAAGATGTAAGCAAAGTCCAAGCATTAGAAATATGTTTTAGGCTTAAATCTTCGTAAAATTAATAAAAAATAAATTCTCAAGCATCAAGAGGCATTAATCTCTTCAGACATCTGGTTCCCATCAACATCACTGTGAACAATTCTGAGTTGATAAGTTTCTATGGAACAAAGAAGTTCACATCAAACCACTCTTAACCACCAAAACATATCTAGTTAATTATGTAGACATTTTGAAAAATTGGTGGAACTCTAGTAACAAGCAGTGGAACCATTTTCAAGGTCTATATTTCAATCAGTATATTTTAATAATTATTTTATTGATTTCATTTTTATTTGCTATATATAATCTGCCATTATGCTACATATAGATCTGTTTCAAATATTTATAACTAATTTATTGTGTGTTTTAGGTGAGATTCCAGATTCAGGATTGTATGTACAATGTGATGAGGTGACTTCAGAGGAGGACGAGTACAACAGCTTGTGGTCCACTGCCTCCTCCTTCATCTTCCTGTTCCTCTTCTCTCTCCTCTACAGCACTGTCCTCAGCCTCTCCAAGGTAAAAATATATGGTTTTATTTTTTATGTTGTTTCTTTGTTTTGCAGCTCTTGGAATTTTGCTTCTCATCACAGGGTTGTTTGTTGTGTTAAAAGATGCTTCTTATCTGTGTTTTTCAGATGAAATAATGATCGAAAATGAGGACTAACTGGTCTGTATTTTGGATTTCCAGTGATATTCTTGTCTATTACAAGTTTTTCAGTGATTTAAGTCATTGAATTGCCTATCAATAGTTTTGTGGATGTGTGATTTCATCTTAAAAGATATTTCAGAATGTCTTAGAATTTCTGTGCAGTTCAGTCACTGATATAAAGTCTTTCACAGTGGTTTGACATGAAATGGTTCATTGTAGAGAAACTTATCAGCTCAGATTTCTTTATAGTGGTGGTGATAGGAACCAATTATGCAATCTTTATGTGTAATGCTGATGGTGGTAAAATAGGAGATCAGACACAGCAGTGCTGCTGGAATTTTAAACACTGTATCCACTCACTGTCCACTCTATTAGACACTCCTACCTTCTTGGTCCACCTTATAGATGTAAAGTCAGAGACGACAGGTCATTCGTAGATGCACAGTTTATGCTGGTCATTCTTTAGTCCTTATTCAGTGGTCTCAGGATGCTGTTGGCTGGATATTTGGTTGGTGGACAATTCTCAGTCCAGCAGTGACACTGAGGTGTTTAAAAACTCCAGCAGCACTGCTGTGTCTGATCCACTCAGACCAGCACAACACACACTAACACACCACCATGTCAGTGTCACTGCACTGCTGAGAACGATCCACCACCCAAATAGTACCTGCTCTGTGAGGGTCCATGGGAGTCCTGACCACTGAAGAACAGGGTAAAAAGGGGGCTAACAAAGTATGCAGAGAAACAGATGGACGACAGTCTGTAATTGTAGAACTACAAACTGCTCTTATATGCTTATATGGTTAGTGGTGCTGATAAAGTGGACAGTGAGTGTAGATATAAGGAGGTGTACGTGTTGAAGTGGCCAGTCAGTGTACAGTCATTATTGTTTTTTATATCTCCTCACTGCAGAACTGTCGTTTATGCAGTTTTGGCACATGCATGTGCTTTATTGTCTCTTTCTAAGCTCTGAACTGGTAATTATAGAATGGATAGTTTGTGTTTTAAAGCAAGACTGAGGCATGTTAGAATTCTAAAATACTCAATATACACATTTGACTGCACAATTAATTATATTATGCATTGAGGTGCCGAAAGTTTCCCGCTATATAACAGCAGTAAGCCTCTAATGGCTGTGTTACTGGGATTTCACCCCTGCATTGTGTAAACCCATGCTAATGCAGGGAGTCTATTGGCTTCATGGCCAGATCTACCATATGGTTGACTTGGGTGACTGCCCAGGGAACCCAATACCCAGGGGCACCAAAAGGTTACTCCAAAAAGTTTTAAATGATTTTAATGATGTAACGATTTAGAATTTTGGAACATTAGATCAGCATAAACCAGCTTAAACTAGCATGGAATTCATGGTGGTTAATACTGTTTGTTTCAGCAGGGAAGTTTCTCCCAAAAGAGTATTTCACATCAAACTACTCTCTACTTTAAATCTATAATCTAACCACACACCACAATAGTTAATCTAATAATCCAGCCATACGTGTCCCAAAAAGCATTATCATTACATAAATTTGATGGACAGTGACATCTGCTTTTTAATTTTGGCAACTTATTTGATGTGCACTGTAATATTGATGAGCTTCAAGAGCAAGCTGATGCCCTCTGCGATCTTAACAAGGCATTAGCTGAAGAATAACTCTGGTTCAGTTTCTACTTCAGCAAAACTATCCTAAGACCTTTTCAATAAGATTACTAATTATCAGTTGTTTTAAAAAATATATTATCAGTGGGTTCTTTACCTGGCCTTCTGTGGCTTATTGGTCTAATATCAGTGAAACCAATGAGCCTAGATAGAACAGTGAACAGCATGATTCAGCAAGTTCAGTGGACATTATCACAGTTATTGTGCATCATAAAATCTGCCCAATATGTTGTGACCTTGTTTTTGATATGATATGTGTTCACATCTTTTGTTTCGATGTTAAATATGTCAGTGTGAACTCTAAGCAAACCAGAACTAAAATGCAAAAGAGGATCATTTTCTGCTCTGGTGCAGACCAAGAGAACTGAACTACGGGTATAAATGCACCAAGCATTGACTGTGTGGGATGTCTGGTTCCTATCACCACCACTGTGAAGAAATCGTCAGTAACCCTGCTGGAAAAAACAGCATAGACCAGCATGGGGGCTCCACAGCAAAACGAGCAGATGTTGTGCTTGGAATGATAGTCAACCAGTGTGGCTATGCTGGATGACCAGCTAAACCAGCACTAGACCAGCATAAACCAGCACTAGACCAGCATGGAATTCATGGTGGTCAATACTGTTTTTCTCAGCAAGGGAGTTTCTCCCAAACAGAGTATTTAAAGTCAAACTACTCTAAATAACTTTGTTTATGTGTTAATCATTTAATTATGCAGACAATTTGAGACTAGGGGAATATCTGGGGGGAAGTTCCAGTTAACCCTTTACTTCTTGCTGAATATTTCTAAAGATGTGACTGTGAATGGCATCCAAGTTGGCCGAGTCATTTTCCAGGTTAAACTACATGTCAAGTAGCCTTTATTACTAAAAGGCTATGTAAAATGTTTTTTTCTCTCTTTATTTTTTTTTATTTTTATTTATTTTTTTTTTTTTGGCTTGTTTCTTGGTTTACCTATATTGAAACACTTTGTGTTACATAAATGAATGCATTATTTATATATATAATAAAATAAGTAATACATATGTATACACATATCTGTGTGGGTATATATATATATATATATATATATATATATATATATATATATATATATATATATATATATATATATATGTGTGTGATTTTGTAATATAATTGTATGGAAAAGCTTTGGAAACTTCCAAATGTAATATCAAAAAAAATTAACATTGTAATTTTTTTTTTTCTGTAAGCTTTGTAATGTTTCTACTCGTTGCTTTTATTAAAGCTTCCATCTCCTCTTCTTTTCAAAGTTATTTCTTCTGAAATTATTTAGTGAATATATTGCAAGTAAAACCATATAAACTATGCAGGGTCCAAATAACAAACTCTGAACTTTCAGTTTTAGGCGACACCTTTTTTCCTACACTCTCTATATGCAGTAAAAACAGGTTCTGAGCTCAGAGGTCTTTTAAAAAAGTTCACTCATGGATCTGTTCTGCTATTATGAGCAAAAACAAGAAGTGAAACAGAGCCTGAGAAACAAGATGCTCACACGTGTTAAATGTTGATCAACTAAAAGAACTAAAAAGAAGGAAAATAAAAACAAGGCAGAAGTGAAAGCTTTCTAGAATGTTTAGATGTAGGTGGACACAGTAAGTGCTTTGGATTATTAATTAATTAATTCATTACTTAATAAATATTTAATAGAAAATAGAGCATGAGCATCTTAGTCACTGTACCATTAGATTGAATGTAGAGCTGCAGTTCTTCTTGGTGAAGGATGTTGTTTTTGTCACTGCATGTATCACTGTGTACTATTATAGTTATGGCAACCACAGTGTTTTAAGCTATTACAAAAACCTGCTGTTGAGACTGAAGTACTGTAAACTAATGAAATGTGCCTGAGCTGTCGTATTTGTTACTTTAGCATAACTACAAAAGCAATATCAGTATAGAGAAATTCACAATGTCATTCAAACACACTCATATGATAAAATTATACATGAAATTTACACAATATATTGCAGGAGGAGAAGTTCAACAGTGAGTTCAACAGCTTGTGTTTCATCACCTCATCCTTCATCTTCCTCTTCCTCTTGTCTCTCATCTACAGGACTGTCCTCAGTCTCTTAAATATATTTGGTAAATGTCTTTTTTTTGTTTTGTTTTTGTTTCTTTGTTGTATTAAAGATTCTTCTTATTTGTGTTTTTCAGATGAGCAAAATGAAGACAATCTGGTTTCAGTTTTGTCAACAAAAAAATGATTATTTCTCTCCTTTATTTTCTTTGTGTTTGTTGTATTTCTTGTAGTTTTGGTTTTAATTATATCAGAAATCTTTGTATTACCTAAATAAATGATACATTTAAAAATATTACTGATTGTTCAAACTGGACTATACTTCATGTGTCTTTCATTTTAATATTTAATTAATGAATCTGTATTAATATTTATATGATTTAACCATCTTTTGCTTATTTTACAAAAACAATTTAATTTTTAAACATCAAGATCTTCTGAGATCATTAAACATATAATGTAGCATCTACATGTAACATCTAAAAATATAATATAACTTTATTCAGTAAGCTATACAGTGTGTCCACTCCCTTTATTACTGTTTCCGTTCTTTGGAAACTCAGGAGAACTTCAAATTCCAAAGACCATCTCCTGGTCTTTTCAGAGTTATTTCTCCTGAAATTATTTAGTGAACATATTACAAGTAAAACCATATAAACTATGCAGGGCCCAAATAACACATCCTAAACTTTCAGTTTTGGGTGACAGCTTTTCTCCTACACTCTCTGTATGCAGTAAAAACAGGTGCTGAGCTCAGAGGTCTTTCTAGAAAGTTCATACACAGATCTGGTTCTGCTATTATGAGCAAAAACAAGAAGTGAAACAGAGCCTGAGAAGCAAGATGCTCACACGTGCTTAATGTTGATCAACTGAAAGAACTGAAAAGAAAGAAAAGAAAAATAAAAACAGGGTAGAAGTGAAAGCTGTCTAGAAAGTTCAGATGTAGGTGATGTAGTGCTTTAGATTATGAAATAATTAATTAATTAAGATTTAATAGAAAATAGAGCATGAGCATCTTAGTCACTGTACCATTCGATTGAATGTAGAGCTGCAGTTCTTCTTGGTGAAGGATGTTGTTTTTGTCACTGCATGTATCACTGTGTACTATGGTAGTTATGGCAGCCACAGTGTTTTAAGCCATTACAAAACCTGTTGTTGAGACTGAA